CGCGTTGAATGTGTTTCCGGAGACAATAGTTGGAGAAATCGAGGTATAAGTGGCAGACCGTCACCTCGGGAGTGAAGTGTTGGAAATAAATGGGAACCACTCGTGGGAAGTGACACGACGTCTCCTATAACAACAACAACACGAAAAGACATTGCAATCAATGGCACCAATCAGTGATCATCGCAAAGGGTGTCTTAAGAGGTCTTAAGACGACGAGTGGGAAGCGATGCTTACCTTCGCGGCGATCTCTTGGAGCCATTTGTTAGTGATTTGTCTGAACTCTCCCTCCTGTTTGCGGTCGAGAACCGGGAAACAGCCGATGAAGCGCTTCCGGCATTCCTCGGGGTCTACCGTTTGGAACAAGTGGTATGTAATCAACTGAAACGCTTTGGGCGTCAACTTCTTGTACGTATCCCTACAGAGAAACAGACAGACGACATGAATGAATGAATCAATGAATAAAGGGATCAATTGGTGACAACAATGGCAGCGATCACTCACTCGTTGATAATGAGGTCCTCTTTGCGACGTCTGATGAACTCCTGAGTGGACAACAGCTTCAGATTATTAGCCAATTGGGTGCGCATTGCGGCGAACACTTGAGCGCCAGTGGTGTCGGACATGGTTTCCGGTGATAATCTCAAGATAGCACTCAATATCAACACAATTACCACTCATTCAGTGAACGCTGTATTTGGCGCCACAATAAACGTATGGAGAACTGCTCGCAAACAACGTTACGCGTCGTAAGGCGTGGAGAGAGAGAGAGGGGGAGGCGTGCAGTGAAATGACACACTTTTTAGCACTCGTTTCACTGCTTCCCTGCATTCGTAACGCTATTTGCGAGCGATTTTGTGTTTACAATAAACACCTGTCGAGTGGTGTGTCGTTGTCTTCGCGTCTTTTACACCACTTTATTATCTCTTCCGTCACATCACTGGCCAACTGATCCGCACGATTATGTCCGCCGGTTATGACAAATCAAAGTTCCTCTCATTTCCGGCCGGTTTTGTCGACGAGTTCACGTGAGTAGCCATACATACAGCTGTCTGTTGGTTATCACCGCAACTGATCCCATGACACCCGACCCACAGGTGCGGCATATGTCTCAACATATACAACGAGCCGATGACTACCCCGTGCTGTCGGCACTCCTACTGCAGACAATGCATTATCCAGTCGTTGCAGATGTCCTCCAATCCCAACACGTGTCCCAACGATCGCAAGAAGTTGTTGTCCAAAGACCTGATGCCAGCGGACCGTACGGTCACCAACATCCTCGACAAGCAGGAGGTGTACTGCGACTTCAAGAGCTACGGCTGCCCCCAGACTGTCCCATTGGCGCGCCTGTCGTCGCATCTCATCCAATGCGGCTTTGATCCCAACAAAGCGCAGGACAAGTGTCAGCAGCTGTTGTCCGAAGTGACGGCCGCTGTCGACAAAATCAAGCCGAGAGTCCGGCGCCAGGAGTTCGAGCACATGAAGGAGCGGTTGACGGCCTGTCAGCAAGAGGTGCGACTCATGGCCTCCCAGACGGCCGCCCAGTCGGTGTACGTCGAGCCCAACACCGATGTAATGATTTTGAGACCATTTCATGACAATTAAGACTTTGTTTTTGTAATCAATTAATGATTTTTTGTTTGCCGTTATCCTCGGGACAGGCGTTCAAGAAGAAGGTGATGGAGTCGGCGAAGAGCTGCGTCGACAACTGGGAACAGATTGAGTGCAATATCGCCGTCAAGAGCGTCAAGAAGAAGGTGCTGAAGAAGTGCAGGGAAGCCGTGCGCCACAGCACTGACTACAACCAGTTGTCGCAGTACTTGTTGGACGCGCTCAACAACCAAGAGTACGAGTGGGTGGTGTCGGTGGGGCCCAAAGGGTCGGCGCACACGGCTGTGGCCAACTTTGTCGACAAAATGGTCGTCCAGTTCGGCGATCTCTCGATCGCGCTGTACAGCCATCACAGCGACTACGACGACGACGATGACGACGACAACTACACGGATATCGGCGACGATTACTTCGACTACTCGGACGTGTTGGCCGACGAGGACGACGACGATGAGGAGGAGTGGGAGGACTGGCGCCGACACTATCACTGACCGCCGCCTCTGAGGGCGTAGAGTATGAGCGCCTGTAGTGCTAAATATTGTGATTATTTTTATATGTATTTGCGTTTTGTGTCAAATTGATTAACACTTTTTATAAGCATTTTTTTGTTCAGAGTTTTGTTTATAGACGGCAAACATTTTATGAATAATTGTTTTTTATAAGTATTTACTAATTGTATGAATATTTGCTAAATTTGCCGATAATTTTGTAAACTATAGCTAAATATTTCTGTAATACTGTATATTTGATGAATACATTATAATTTATAATATAACTACCGGTAGTTGCAAAAGTGTATAAGTTTTTAATGATCTAATAAACGAATTTATTGTTATTTTTAGAAATCAAGTTGTGTTCAAAACTTTATATCCTTTTGTTCATTCAATTAATGTGCAAATAATGACAACAAATGCGAGTAAAATTGAAATTGTGTTTTAATTATTGCACTTTAAAAAAGTTGTGTAAAGTATTGCACTTTAACTGTAATACAAATTCGTATCTTAAATACTATTCAAAACAACAACACATAAAAAAGTTATACAAAATTACTATTGAATTATCGCTTTTAAAAAGCATTCAATTAAACAATTTTCGAGTTAATCATTAAAAAAACAGATTTTTCGCGACAAAAGTGAATCAATTATACAAATGAGTTATAAATCTATTTACAAAACAAATCGTAAAAATAAAAAACTATTTACAAATTAAGTCTAAAAACGGGTCAAAGACTAGAGATTACGATAAAAAACAATTAAATAAAATTAAAAATACTATTAAAATAAATAAAAAACAATTAAAAGCCCTATTCCTCGCTCGCGCTCACCCCTAAGGGGTAGAGGTTTTGGGGAACGAACGGCGCTGAATGGGCCGACAGTGTACTGAAAAAGGGTTTCCCAGTCGACGGACACTGCGGCAAATGGTTGGCCCACAACCGGCGCCCCTCAGCGACGCCTCCACTCTCGTCCGCCATCACCACCACCTTCTGGCGCCTCCTCATCACGATATGCGACAGACAGACAATGCATTGGACGTTGCACTCGACATAAGAGTTGCAGAGCCCGAGCTCCCGGTGCACCACATACTTGACGTGCGCCGGCACACACACCCCTCCGTGGCTAACCTCCCGTTCCCGTTGCCACACCGGGTGGTCGGGCATACAGTATCTCATGATGGCGTCGCAGCAGTGATGGTTGACCGCCGCCCGGAGACCCATTTGGTGCCACAGTTTGTCTCTCTTGCGGAGGAATAGCCGCAGTTTGCTGTCCGACACGGTGTCCGACATCGCGAACCGAACCAAATCCAACTTCACGTCCAGATCGTCCTCTTCCATGTCGTGCGCGAGGTATAGGGCGACCATTAGGTACACCGGAGTGTACTGCTGGTGCCGGAGGCCCGCCCTCTTGAAGTACGTCAACGCCATCGCCAGTAAGTACTTGTCGGCCAATAGACAGCATTTGTCCCAAAGGAGCAGCTCTTGGACGGCCGGCTCGTCCAGCAGTCGGCGGAACGTCTGGACGTCGCGTTTGGTGAGCACGAAGTCGGCGTACACTTCGTTACCGCTGCTGCTGATGGCGGCCGTCGATGGCGTCGACCACCCGCTGGCGCCGCCTCCCGAAGACGCCGATGAGGACAGCGATGAGTACTGCCGGCGACGACCACTACTACCACTCCCACCGCTGGAGATCATCGGGTGATAGCTGTCGGACCATGAGTTGTCGGCTGCGGTCGCGTGGATCGACTGGTGGTGATAGTCGTGGGTCTGAAGCGGTCGCTGGCGGTGCGCTTGTGGCCAGTCGTGGGCGGAGGTGTCGACGCCGTGGCGCCGGTAGTCGGCCGTCGAGAACCAGTTGGTGAACGCTTTGGACATCACTTCGCAGTCTTATCGCACAAACAGATGACACCAAATGATAGACAAAACTAAATGATAATTAAAAAAAACTTTTTCTTCGGACCCGAAGACCACTGAAGACTACAAACACAGCACTCGATAGGTATTGGACTGAACGCTGCGAACGACTGAATCGAATGCAATGTTTGGCCCAAAGTGTCGGTCAGTGCGCGAGACGTGCGACGAGTGTCTCAGCAAACGGTTAGACATAAAACACACCAAAACTTTGTTCACTCTCTCGTGTGCTGTCTATGCGTCGAGTGTATGGAGAAAACGTGCGATTCATGTGTTGTATGAATACAACAGACAGTCAGACGACTTGTCGTGTTTTGAATGCAAACACTGGGAGAGAGAGACACCTTCACAGACGATTCCTATGAACGCATCGACCCATTCGTGGCGCGCATTGGCTCACAGGCGCCCACTAGTTGTGCGCATGACTTACGCACACAACACACTCACAGACAATGCAATAACAATGTCATGTGTTTTAGTGTTAGCTATGGTTTGCATGCAGTGGTCAACACGTGCAGTGGTCAACACGTGCAGTGGTCAACACGTGCAGTGGTTGATCGGTGGCCACAGATAGCCATCAATCGAGACAATAGGTCTGCGAAACACTCACGCATTTAGACTCACTTTAACACTAATTATCAGTAATTATGGACAGAAAACACACTTTTAATACAAGAATCTCACAGAATATTCATTTGACAAATATATATATAAGTTAGTGAATATAGTGGACAGACATCTCGTGGTCACCGAATGGTGCGGACAATGGGTCGCCAAACGGGTGTCTCATTAGTCTCGCAACCGGTCCTCCAATTCACGGATTCTCAGCTTCTTTTGGTTCAAAACGGCGGCAAATCTCGTGTAAAGCAATGAATCGTTTTCCTCTTTCGTGACCACAAATCGGTCCAAATCTTTGACTGATCTCTCGCTCAACTCCCGTAACGATCGGTTCTGTTCCGTGAGTTCTGCCACCATAAAACTAATGATTCGCTAAAGAGTTGGCAGCAGAAGAAGGACCAACTCTGCGGTGATGTTCAACGCAAACATCATTTGAATGGCGAAAGTGTTGAGCAATTCATTGGCGATCGATTCAATCAACTCGCGAGTGATGTGAATGCGTTGAAGAGTACTGTATTATCAATGAATAAGTTGGTGGACACCAATTGGATCAGCTATGCGAACGCCATCGACAATAAGAACTCAGTCAACAGCTCATCCATTGATTTACACGATGTGCTCAACAAAAGTGATGTCAAAAACACTTCTTCAGTGGGAGTTATGGCTCAAGAGTTGATTACTTTTGCCCGAAATTACGACTCAATTCTGGAGAATGGTATCAATTGTGGTGACAATTGTCTTAACGAATGAACTAATGTTTTGTTTGTTTCTTAAACATTAGTCACAGAAAACGATTTGAAAGAGTTTTCACACATTTCTGACGAGTTCTTAGCGGAAGTCGAGACACATTCACAACAGATGCGAGAACTGA